CTGTAGACTGAATAGATATCAAATCCATATACATTATTATTTATGCTAGCCTACAAACAGATTTTATTAAAGATAGGTATTGATCACTCCTTCCTGTTTTATCTGTCTACCTTACAAATGAGAATAGTTTTACTTCCTGTATTGTATTTTCAAAGCGTAACAAATAACTGAAACATTAAGTTTGTTTTGAAATCAAGGAAATCATTTTGAACAATCTAATGCTTAAATTCAACTGTTTCATTAAATCAATGGATTTACATAAGTCTGAAATCATGAATCGATCAAAGTTAGACCATCATTAGAAACCTGGAAGCATTGAAAGACGGCCGTTTCGTCCTGGTATGGGACTCATCAGCAGTGCGTATCCACGACTCCTGCACCTCATAGGATTCGAACCCAGGACCTTCAGTCTTGCACGCGAACACTTAACCTATTTACATGATTCGGAGTAAATTTATACTCATATCTATAGTTTTATTATATACAACCTAAATAATTTTAATTGAAGCATGAATGACAGCTAGATAACTCAAAAGTTGGAACAGTTTACATTTTTATAAGTCTGACTGATTGTCTCAAAACTATTCCAGAAAACCTCTCCTACTTTACAAATGCACCAGATAATATTTTCGACTTGTGATGTGGTCATGATTTCTTACTCTGAATGGATATTTATCTATTTATTACTAAACTATCCAACTTCATTAAGATGAAGCAATCTGATTGGTAATTCAAATGGATTTCAATTATAGTTTAATAATTTGAAAAAAGTGCAGGACATCCAGAGTGTGATTTAAATATTTATCCTGAAATTTAATATCACTGTTGATTAAGGTCATGACCCCTATTGATCTGATAGATCAAAGTAAAGTCTCGTGCATTTTCATGCATGATTTAATATGTGAACTAAATTAATTTGTAGGGACAACTTTTCAATTTCGGTAATTTCGATACAGTTTACAATTTAGATATTCACCTTTTTACCAGTTATTATTTCTAGATTAACCTCGAAAAAAGTATATAAGTTTATAGTATTTCAAATTAATGCATTAACTTGTAAATTCCTCTTCTTGCTTATGGAAAGAGTGGATTGTTATCTGAAAATCAATCAACGTAATGAGCTTCTAATGTTAGTTGTTCTTTTCCGCTTACCGCATACAGGTGTCTCTATAACCGATTACCCCAAAATCTAAGCTTGTGATAAATGTTTCTTTCGAATGGCCTTGATCCACAAATTCACAAATCGCTAGAGTTTCTTTTTTATACATCCGCGTTCTCACTAGCTCGGAAACAGAGTTATTGTACACTTTGCTGCGAATACTTATTCAGTGGTTTTGTAAGGAACAACTAACTCCCTGATATTGAGGGTAAACTAGAAGTCTCTGCAATTTTCACGTAAACTAAATACCACAATAAAATGCGGTTTGGTTTCTGATACCTCAAATATATCGGGATAATTGAGGAATAATTCAGATTCTTATTTGATGACAGTTTAGTAGTTTAACAACATATATTCACAAGTATTTCATATTTGAACAAACGCTCATTTTTTTTTTAAATTTTCATATTTCCCATGCTAATGAAATTGGGTTGGTAAAATTGATTTACAAGCAGTGCTTTACACTTAGCCAATTTATTGAAATAAAATTTTTCGACAATATGGGATTAGTTTTTTCGATAACATGTATTTCACGTTTAGTTATAATCAAGATGATTTTCAATATCAATGTAAATTTACAAATGCATTTTAGTGGCCTGCAATCTGACTCCATTTTGGACGAACAGTCGAATATGCTATGAAACAAATCTTCTCTTCCATTTCGTTCATTAAAGTACACTGCTCAGATGATACCGTTCAAGTAATCTCTCGTTTGTGTACATTGGTTTCATCGTTGAATTCATCTTTACAAGAAGAATAATGTTTCTACAAACATATTACTTCAGGTAGTAATCTTAATTTAATTTGCTTAAAGACCATTTTCAGTTATATGGGTTACTAACAGAAACCAGTACCGAAATTGCAATCATTACACAGTTCCAGTTATTTCGGTTCCTCAACAAATGATGCATCGTGAAAAAAAAGTAACTTTTTAAAGTTGTTCTATCCGATAACCCATGCAATACTTTTTTTTTCTTAACATTACTCTAAAAAACAGATGATAAGAGACCTTGAACTTAAATTTCTTAACATTTGTATTTTCACCTCATTTGTTACTTTCAAAAAAGGTCAAGCTAACTCACTGACCTCATTTGTTACCTCAGTTCTGAAAATGCTTATCAAACTAAACACATTAAACTTGGATTCATATTACACTGAATTATGTACATAAGTTTGTCTTAAGTTTTAAAAAAAACCATTCCAATGTTCAAGTCACATATAATGATTCGAGTTTATGAATGAAGAACTGTAGTGTAGTGAATAATTATCTTGAAATTATATTGTTGTACATTCCTCACAGGATTTTTTTCTCTTACACTTTACAATGATAGTTATCGGATTATTATCATCATCAACACTCCCTTCATTGATTAACATAAATCAAGAGTTAGAACCTAATTGTTGCATTAATCGCATTCTATGACTACTTTATATAAAACTATGTGTTTGTATTCATCTTCGTAAAATGTGTGTATTTTCTGAAGTATCGAGTAATCTAAGAGAGGATAGAAAGTTTTCCCATACAATAAAAAAACGGAGCGTATGTATACAAATGAGTGAACATGAAATGTACAATATAAAATAAAAATGTTTGTATCAAAGAAACTTAATTTTGTTTATCTGTAATTTATTTAGAAATAGTTTGGTTTATGGTTTTTCTATAGGAACCGAAAAACGATCGATTCACTGAAACTAGGCATAAGATTGATGAGAGATTCATGAATAGATTTTAGATTTTTTTTTTAAAGGCAGTTAATTGTCACTGTCATTGTGTGTGTCACTTACCACCATATCTTAATTGTAGTATATATTCAGTATTATCCAATAGACATTTCATTCATTTGAACTAAATACTTGTTTAAATTTGCTATTATCGTTTCAATTAACAGTTTTTTATCAATATTAATTGATAATGTTTAATTTCGTACTATGTTCAACCAGTAGTTCATCAATATTTACCTTAATAAACGAATCGTCTGACCAATCCAATCACTTTATGATTTTACCGATTGATTGTATCGTACAGACTTAACTATGACGATAATGTGAAAAATATGTTACCATTTATTGTCGTTTTGAGAAAGCAGACAAGATAAATAACGTGGGATTTAAATTGATACTTGAATGCATTGATCATGTTAAAGATGTAAACTTCATGGTTGGTGCTACTTATTATTAACAACAAGAAGACAAAGTCACTAAGACTGATCTTGTGTTATTAAGAATTAATCGGCTTGGAAAAGTGGTCTAAAAACTAAATTATACTGTAAATCATTGTTGACTAAGTTTATTATTGAAGTAATCAGACTTTTTAAACTCTCTTAATTGTCTTAATGTTTAATTAGTCGAATAAACTAGATGAACATAGTATTTGAAATACGTACAGACCATGCACTTTGACTGTCGCAGATTTGTAAAGAGACGGAGAATATAACTGAAATTGTATTATGTAGGTCATCTCTTATCCGTAGAGTTTATCTTTGATCTCAAGGTGAGAATTGGAATGCTGAAATCTTAGAACTGTCGTAAGTGATGTTAAAATTATGGCGTTTCGAACCCATTAGGATCACTGAAAGAATGATTCTTAAGCATAGATGGTAGACTGTTATATACTCTAGAGTGTTGATTGGAGTTCATCTCTCAAATACGATGAATGTCGGACTGTAGGCATTACTTAACTAACTGGGTTTTTTGTCGCATGTAGAATATTCAAGCATCATCCGATGTTCGAAATATGATAAATATTAAAACTTCATTGCATAATAATTAACACTAACAATCTACATGATATGAAATTAATAAATGTAACTTTCTTAAGTAACTTACAATTCTGATCATAAACAGACAGACAGATACAACGCAGAACTTCGTACGTAAGTACAACAGTCCAGGTTGCCATGCCCCATCAGCACAGAGACGCAACTGTCAGTTCAAATCCAAGAATGATAGCAATAACAGAAGTATTAGCAGTAATGGAGAAGTTTAGGGAGCGAAGATATGATTCGACCGTAGCTGCTACCTTGTCGTGGTGGTCGGGCTTGCCTATCGTCATGACCCAACCGAGCTATATTGGATGCAACATATGTTCCTGAAGGTCCTACCATGCCAAGCAGGTCAATTGGAGAACAATGAGACTAAAAGCAGATACTCAAGGTCTGAGGGTGAAGTCGTACTGCTAACTACTGCAGAGGGGTGTGACAACAGTAAGGTGTTTCCCTCGGACAACCAGCATCTGCAGCGATGCTGCCTTCTCACAAGGAAGGAAGGGTTGTCAAAGGTCAACCCTAAAAATGTCACACCTCACCCTATCTCACGGATTTCCGTCTCCGGCGGTGAGGGTGCCCACTATGGGCCTTTAAGAGCAAAGCTAATACTCAAAAAACCCTTCATAAAAAAGCTGTGCGTGACCGGCCTCAAGCAGTCGTCCCTTGGGCTCTGCGGTCACTCACCCAGGTCTTTAAGACCAACATTAATCTACCTTCCTTTTCAGGTTCCTCAAGAAACACCCTTCCATGGTGTGGGCAGCCGGGAAGTGACAACCGCCCTCACACGAGACCGAATAGGTCAAAATCAGATTCTGATCATAGTTCAAGATAAATAAATCTCAACAAATAAAGCCTTTAAAGGTGGTTACAGATCACCTTAATAAATATAAACATTATCGAATTGTATTGTAACGGAGATGATAGTTCCAATCTGATGTTCCCCAAATAATTATCCGAGTCTCTCAGAATAGCCTAGTGTAACTTGGTATCAATAAGAATCTCACATTATAAAATCCATGATCGTCTAAATGATCTAGCCTGAAAATAATTTTTCAGGTGAGTAAAATGATCTTTAACTTCAGTGAATGTATTGTTTGACAATGCTCTCACAATGTTTAAAAAATATTCAAATCACAATATGCTGACTCATGATTTATAAAATCGAATACATTTGAAACTCTTCGGGAACTATTCGTACAATTTCAAAATCTACTTTGACAATATCAACCAACTTATTAGGTATTATGAACAATTACCAAACTGAAATGCATAATTCATAATAAATTCCTTTATTCAGACTAAAAAAACACTAATATTTAAACATCTGAAAAATAAAAGGTGAAAGGAAAACAGGGAGGTAAAAAAAAATTTGTGACAACAGGATAGTACAGTAGTAAATGACCATTGATCTAACAAAGGAAACTATTGTCTAAATGAAGTTATGCATTATTTATAATCCTTTTTCAATTTCAATCATTTTTGCAACACCTTCTGCCATTTCATGAGCTGCTTGTAATTCAGTTAAACCAAGGCGACGTTTATTACTGATATCATATGTACCATCAGGTGATTCAGTGTGTTCACCGTAGAGACCTTAAAACGTGAAAAGAACAAAAAAAAGGCAGAATATCTCAATAACAGTCAGTCAGTTGCAACGTAGAACTTTGTACGTATGTACCTAAGTTCATGTTGTCATATCACATTAGCACAGAGACGCAAATGTCAATTCAAATCCCATAGTGATGAAGATAGTAGAGGTATTAATGGTAATGAAGAAGACTAGGGTTTGAAGATATTATTCAAGAAGTATAATTCAGTGAGATAAGGTTAGAAAGACAAAGGTAGAGGTGCTGACGATTCCAGAAGATTAGGATTTGAGAGAGCACAATGAATGGATGCACTTGCGCCATTGCAAACGATTTTGAGCCATGTCGTTCAAGGTCTCTAACCATTGGTGACTTTCGTCTCGCGGACCCCAATAACAAGGAATTCTCAAATCAATAGTCGGAAAGTGAAACATGTAGTTGGCGTACTACTAATAGGTCAAGTCCACATAGCTTGGCCACACAGCTTTTGGACAAATGAGTTAATTTATTCTTCTCTAGTTATTATTCACATGTCTTTTAGACTTTGTCAATTGGTTGGTTGTTTATTTTTTGAGTGTTGACGTACATTGCTTGCTTTGTTTATCTGAATGTCTAGCTTATTTTTGTCTGACTATAAATATCTAGTCGTTCCTCAACACATGGAGTAGGCTCACTCACCTTTTTCCAATTCGCTTTCATACTTCAGTTTATTGTTTGTCTGCTTAAATGAATGTATGAAATAAATCTATTCAAAATAAATCATATAGGGCTTTTAATCGGTGCCGTTACACAAAAATGAGGTTGACCCGAAAATGATATGTAAGATTTATTTCGTAGCATATTCAATCGTCCGTCCAAATTGGAGTTAGATCTCGGTCCATTGAAAAAACTTCAAAGATTGACCTTAGTTGGGGTACCTCTGAAATCTATGATACGTAAAATAGATATCTGTGACTCAATAGCAGCTTCAATAAGTTGAATGCATTTTCTTGAAGTCGGTATAAAACAGAGGCTACAGAAACTGTTCGGTTGGTGTTTTTAATGTTTTCAAGACAACTGATACTGATATGTATTTTCTATACTATAGACGCAGTTACAAACTGTCAACGTTCCTGTTGTGTAGATATGTATGCCTGTTCAAACAGTATTATGCATCAGTCATTAACAATGGTCATTAGGTAACTTTGAGCTTGCTGATTATAAGTTAAAATCACGCAGAGTGAGTTCAGTTTGTTGGATATCGGTATATCAGCGGAAGACAGTTTAAAACAAAAAAGGGGGTAGTAAAAAAAACACTCAAAAAAGTTACCTCTTGCTTGAAGCATGTACTTTGCACAAATCTCATCCAGTTTCTTCTGTTGAGCACTAAGTTTTGGTATCTTTAATAATACGCTGGCACGCATTGATGTGCCCAAGTTTGATGGACAACAAGTTATGTAACCATATTTCTCACTGTGTGCAAACTTCATACTCTTTCCGATGGCATTAATTCCCTATAATGAATTAAGTAAAGTAGATATTGATTAATATGAATGATAAAGTGAGTATAACAAACTGTTTTTGGTCAAAAAATTGACTTATACAAAGTTATTAAGATTTTTGAGGACAGTTTGCTTTTTCAGTTGATGATGAAACTCGAATGAGATAAGATTATCATAAATTCATCTCATTGACAGTTAGTTTATGGATTCACTCGTGTAGTTAAAATAGGTATTTAAATTAAATTATATATCATCAGTTCATGAATATCTCTCGCGCGTCCCTTAACTACTAGATTTACGGATCAGATAAGCTAGCATTTATGCTGCAAAGACTAAAGAAAGATGAACCAACTGATCGGCTGTTGTATTTAACGAGTAAATACTAGAACCAACAACTCATAACTTTATCAAAAGAGACGTATCTAATTGATCGAATATATCTCAAAAAATTGTGAAAATTATTCTCAATTAATATGGTGTTTTTGAAACTGCAAAAAACCTAGCAACCAATGCATTGTACTTCTTCTTCCATTTGCAAATAGTCAGTCGCTATATCTATTAACATTTCGTAAGGTCACCTGTGGACCTATAAATACCTACAATTATAAAGCCTTTTTAATTAAGCTTTCTGATTCTATTCGATGTTCAAGTACAGTTTTTCGGTGTACAAAACCTAAAACAAATGTGCAAACGTAATTACAATGCATTACTAATAAAAGTGCAGTAAAGTAGTGACAGAAACAACAGTCAATTTAACTAAGAACTTTTCGCTTTTACTCGAATATGCTTATGCAGTTCCACTGATTATCTACTCACCTCAATTAAGCGCTTATAAACAGCAGCTAAGTCTCCGCCTTGTTGCATTGAGATAATTCTCATGTGATCTTCTTCGCAAACCCATACAAGAAAAGTCTTTGAATTATTATGGAAAATTCCACGTCCAACAGGCCAATCACGATATCCGCCGGCATCACGTAAAACACTAAACAAATGTACAGAAGAAATAAATATTTATATATGTATATATTTTTGTCGCTAGATTCATTGACCAAAAGTCGTTACAGTTAAATTACAACCAATCATTTCAGCGATTAAATGACGCTGCATTTGATGTACTCTGCTTATACTCCAAAAAGAGTAGCAGGCATAGATAAGTAAAAGCAACTTCGAGAATCTGCTTGTGTAATATGAACACCTTAAATGTATCTTTACGACTAACTATAATTATAAATCGCCTGTCTGAAGAACAAAGCTTATAGGTCAGTCTTTAACATCAACATTCATCGTAACAGAAGTGCACTCACATTACAAAATAATTTCATAATCTGTTCAAACTCACGAAGATACCCACTTTCAGTAATAGTGGAAGGAAATCAAATTCCTTTGTAGTTTGCGTCATCTCATTTTGCCTTTAATCTCACCTCGTTTATCTGTCTATGCTGTGAGGTTGGGAAACTTAGATCCAAGCACATTCCTCTCAAGTCATAAAAGTTAACTATAGCTGACCAAAATAAAACTTTCTAAATAGTAAACAGTTGAAATTTTAATCGCTTAAAAAGACTCAAATTTACACTTACGGATCGTCATTTTTAAACAAGAAATGGTCTTCCACCAGTTGTTTTCTATCTTCCTCTTTCATATTAGTTAATGGATAGTAAGTCCCAGCATGTTCTCCAGTAAGTCCTTTCAATGCGCCGGAAATAACTTGCTCTAATTTTATACGATCATTTTTGCTCATAATTGTTGGGAACAAAAAGCCTTCAACACTACGACCAACACGGACACGTGTAGAGACAATAAATTTACCTAGAAAGGGTGTGAATGGAAAACCGATGTTATAAATATTAAAGTAATTATATTTACAATGAAACTAGCGGATATACACCATCAAAGTACTAAAATATTAGATAACTCCACATAGTAGTTTCCATCAATCTATCACGTCAGTTAACGATACGATTGTAAATTTAACTGTATTCATTACGTTCCAAGTATACATGATGTAGCAACTCACATCACTGATTAGTTCAATATTACGGTGAAATCTGTTTTCAATGCTCTTCAGTTCCTTATATTTTCATTTTAAAACTGTCTACTTGTTAAAAAACACCCACCAGAAGAAAACGCTGTCTAAGTGCCACCAAAATGCTCATGCGATGGTTTAGCGACTGCAGCATTTTAGTGTAAACTAGCAGATTCCAGGCTCGAGTCCCGCCCACTAAACTCCGTATTTCATTCACATACATACACATGTACTTGGTTAACAAGGTAGTTAATTACGACGGTATAGCTTGAGTTAATTTAGATAGTCCTATCATGGATAAAGATCATATGATACTTTTACCAAGTAAGCAAACGAGATTTTCAAATGAAAGAAATTAGTATCCAATAACAAATTGCTAATTATTAAGCAAAGGTTAACATAGATTGAAAACTGGTCACCTAAGAAAATGGGTATAAAACTTAAGTTATTGAAAGACCGCTGTTGGCCATGGGTTTTCACACAGATGTTTAATGCTGTAGCTGTAGTTCATATTTTAGTTATGGAATGAGGTTTGCAAAGGCGTAGGTGCATTCATTTTTTGTGTTCTCTCAAGTCCTAACCTTCTGAATTAATCATCACCTCTATCTCTCTTTCCAAATTTACCTCACTGAATTATACTTCTTGAATAATATCATCGAACCCTAACCTATCCGATTACTGCTAATACTTTCGCTACCCCTACTACTATGAGATTTGAATTGACAATTACATATCTGCTAATGTGATATGGCAACTAGAACTGATATACATACATACGAAGTTCTACGTTGCTGTTGATGATGATGATATAACTATGAAACAACTATCCTTGTACTCATGCAGATTAGTTAAATTTAGATAGAAACGACTAGTACTTTTCCGGCTATTTGCTAATTTATTGTACTCTGTTTTGGAACAGAAACATAATAATCACTGTGTGTAATGCACTAATATCGTCAGTTGATATCCCAAACTTTTGAGTTAGAAATTACAGAAATAATCCTGGTAGTATAAAAAGTTTACATACCAGATGGATCTAGGTTACCAAATGGAAGTTTTGACAAATCACCAAATGTAGGCGCAGGATGTTTAAATGCAGGATCTTTCACACTGTGATAATCACAGATCAATGGATCCAAGTAATCAATGAACGTCGAGTAACATTCAGCTTCACCGGTTCGTGGACATATTGAACGATTGTTGTATGCACCTATGAAATGAAAATTGAAATTCTTCATGATAACTATTTGGGTAATAATATTAACCATAAAGTTCAATAATTTAAACAAACATATGGGGGAAATATTTTACTTGAATAACCCTAGCGATTTATTGACTTAAGAATAAGTGTATAATACCACTAGAAATAATGGCTGCTTTCATTCACTGTAGCTAGTACAAGAATTGAAACAATAAGACTGTATTAGAATCAACCTAATAGAAAAATTGTATTTAACAAGGTTTTACCACAATGATAGTTCTCAAATTAGTTTCAAATGAGACATAGTAAGTACTGAGAAAGCTTGTAACGTCCTCTAAGATCAAATACCAGTGCCGATTGGTCGGGCAGAAGCAAATCAGCATTTGTAGATCATTCTTACAAAGCTCATTTGCTGGAAGTCAATGCTTTTGACGCGTTGATTTATAAGATACTGATATTTCAAATTGTCATGTCAAAAACTAAGGCAATATAGGAAGAGCAGATGTTCGATTCCGATTATAAGCAAGGTACTACCATCATCACACTAATTAAAGTGAAACATGGATTTATTAAAATATTTGGTCAACCTGAACTTTTCTATTTCTAACTTTAATATTTTGTCTATTGTAACACAAAAATGATAATTTTGGATGTATAGCTGTTAAGCTTGATGAATAGGTAATCGAAAAATGATCGTACAGTGTAATATAACTTTTGCTTTCAAACAGTCAAAATTATAAGGCATGATTTATTAGACGGCATTTATTTTGATCATATGGAATTCCGTTATTGTCTATGTTAGCTGACAATTTGTTCATCTCCCTAGATAACACTAATCAAGTAAGAATTAACATGAATTTGCCTGATATTTTTCTACCAAAATGTATTTTGATGTATATTATGTATAGTTTATAATCTAATGTTCATTTTCACTAAAGATCCTTAAACATTTTACATGTTAGTCCGTCTGACAGTTTATTAGAGTGTTTCTCTCGTGTGTATGCAATTTTCATTCAAGCTGATACATTTTTCTGGATTCTGTCTTTGGCTAAAATGCAACAATGCAACATCTAACAGAAAATTATTTTGGTTAAAGTTGCCATTATTCTTATCAATGAAGAAGAAAATAAGCAAGACAAATAAAGTGGAAATACTCTGAAGAAGAGATGTGAACGTGAAGTGATATTGTGATTCGCCAGATCAAAATATTGCCTGAAATAACTCTGGACTACTGGGTCAGTATCCAATGGTGTTAATGTCTAACTCTGATCAATCCAGGGATTTTCAGTCACCTCACTCATTTGTCTTCGGTAGTTACTACATACACCCAACAAATGGGTCACTTAAAATCCGTAGGTTGGTCAGAGTTAGACGTTAACACCGTTGGATGCTTGCCCAGCGGATGAGCACTGCTGATGAGTCCCCTACCAGGAGGAAACGGCCGTCCACTGCTTCCAGGTTTCTAATCGTAATCTTATAATGATTGATTCATGATTTCAGTAATGTACAATTATCTTTGAACGTTGCATTCTGGTGCATAATATGAATGTGAGTCATTTCAATATCCAATATCTTTTTCACGAGCTGGTATAAACCAAATGGCTTCTTTGCGCTCAATTCTTGTTCTTTGGGTACGGTCCCAGGTGTTTTGAACTATTTCCTGAATGTAATGTGCAAACAAATATTTGTCCCTTACATTAATAATTGAATAAAAAAATTGTTTCGACCCAATTAAATGATCATTCAGTTATTACTTATTTTACAATTACCATTGTTTATCTATCATCTTTCCAGAAACTGAACATGAATACTAGACATATATATGTATATAGACCAGGGCCATTAAAGAAAAGGTCAAATAAAGTAAAAGGTCAAACAATAACAATAATCAATCGAATTCAAATGATAGTTAACATTTAAAACAGGTAGGATAAAATTAAAAGTAAAATAATTGAAGTTTCAGAAAAAGCAGTACAATTGTCACATTCACCCTAACTAGTAATTTCCATTCAACAGTTTATAAATTGGCTAAATCAAAATAATCAAAGTGATTGATTCACTAACAAGTGCTGAAAGTAATAAAAATACAATATTAGTGTATTGTAACATTAGCATAAATTAAATTTAAAAAATGTTACTTCGAAACTAAGTAGTTTAGTTCGTAGATTTCAAACACGTTTATGGTGGTTTTCTTAATGAGATGATAACTAAACTAACACAACAGCATACAATCCATATCTAGAAAGAAGCTAATAATGGGAGAATCTAAGAATCTACAGAGAGAAGGTTCCTGATGAAATGAGGAAGAATTTTAGCTCAATTAGATGCTCATGGTGCTGTCGAGTTCTCTGAGCTTAACAGTTTAATTATGGAAGCTTCATTATCCTGCACAGCATCACCAGAACTTACTTCTCCCACATGATGTTATCCAATGAAAGTCCCTCAACCAAACCATTTATTTAGGAAAACTCAATAACACCAAAATTGTTAATTTTGATAACTTTCTTGGGATATAGTTTTGATTAAGATTTGAGATCGGCCGCAAATATTGTTTTATCTACATGAAAAGAGATTAGATAACCTAATGTAAAACCAAATTAAAACAATGCCATACTTAGCAATTGTTGGAAATCCAAAAGTGAGTTACTTTTCACATTGATTTCATAAAAGCAACTTACAATTACGTATCATGTGCGCGAGGGTAGCACCGTGAGTTGTTCGTTTTCCATCATATTTTTTGATTATTTCAGGTGTCAAATATTTGCGAGTATAACATTTTTCAATCGGAGCACCTTCTAGCAGTTTGGCCAGATAAGTTAGTGGTTCAACTGCCATAACACCCTCTGTAAGCAAAATCATGCAGAGAAGATGAATTATTAGTGACAGCAGTACACAACTGTAAGCTGTCAAGAGATCTACGTGAATGAACTGGTTTAATTAATCTAATATAAATCTAACGCAGATACTCCTCGGTACAAATCAGTATATATATGTTTAATATCAGTATGGACGAAGGGATATTCTGCGGCACATGTTTTTTGTATAGTTTCAAAGGTATTCGAGTCAGATTAAGTGAACTACTATTAAAACTGAAAATAATTTTTTTAGTACATGGGACCGGACTAGTAAGCCGAATGTTGTTGAAGTGTGAAAACGTTCGAGATTTCAGTGGATAAACTGCTGCTCAATTATAACTGATAACTTCCAAATTTGCCAAGCAAACAGGTCTTTAAATGACTGTCAAAACAACTTGCTGTGTACCTTACATTGAACCTTCATTTAGTTTCTATATTTGGCCACATGCAAGATTATAGGAGGAAATAATGAGAACTTAAGGATATCAATTTAGTTACTACACATAAAGAAATAAGAGACGAAGTCATCAGGTGATATTGAATGATAAGCAGAGTTTAATCCATGTTTCCGGCTTGGACACATGTATCTCGATTTCAAAGCATTAAGTATGGTGTTTTCAGTGAAAAAAATTATCTGACAAAGTCCATTTAATGAGCTTAACATTAGCTATTACTTGGTAACTGACTGCTTTGATCTAATAATTTAAAAGATTTACTCCAGCATTGTATAATGAGGAATTCAGTGACCATCATTTGTCATAAAATGGATGGCAGTACTGAAGATATTATCCTTTTTTTGTCTTCAGTTAAATACGCAATAAATGATAATTTTCTGCACTTACATATGCTATCAAAGACAAGGAGAAAAACAGTTGTCAAGCAGACAACTTCTGATAATTTTTTTGGATATGAACTTTGCTCTGAAATAACAGATTAAAAGTTTTCAGCCAATCCACTCAAGAAGTTGAGTCTTCACAAAGAAACTTAAAGCACGTAATAAAATAAGCTAATTAATCTTTTATTTTCGTAACAAATCACTAAATTCAAACACTTCTGTTCCTGTTGTCAGTAGATAGTTTTTACGGTTTACTATACTAGCAGCCAAAATTTTTAGGTGCTTATTCACCGATTCTGTTTGATTTTCTTCAGAAATATGGTGCAGTGACAGTTACAATCTAATACCTATAGTTCATATAAAGGGTTGTAGTATGATAGTGCTACCTCTTAGCTTCTACCCATTATGACAACACTTATAAAGAATACATATATAGCCTATTTTACTAAGCACTAATACATCACTTACCTGGAGCTCCCTTGTTGTATTCTTGTAACATAACTTCAAGTTCAAGCAAGGCTCGAACACCAGAATGCATTTCTGTAACAGCATCCATCTCAGTAAGACCAAGACGACGTTTATTGCTCAAATCATAAATACCACCAACTGACTCAGTATGTTCTCCATGAGTACCACGAGGTTGTATACCATGTTTTTCACAAATTTCCTGTAGATTTCAATTGTTTAGAAATAAAACCAAGTGTTATTATCACTATTAGTTAAGTTAAAAGTTTGGTGCAATAAATTTGTAGAATAGAGTTGTCCGCACATAAAGTTAGATTAAGTGAAAAAACCTGATCAGCTTTTAGTATAGAACCCATTTTTAAGATATCAAAACGACACAACCAGTCTTAACGAAAAATGAATTTATAACTACGTAAATGTAAACTCAGTGTTTTTGTGGCATAGAAGTTTGATCCATCGACACGAGAAACTACCAAATTAAGTTCAGATAGTGCTTCGCTAATAAACAGTTTCATGTACAACTTCACCAGGAACATTCAATTGGAACACGGTTCAGCTGCTAACAAACAATTCTCAGTTTATAATATAATATATAAAAGATTGGTAAGAGATGAAACCGTGTTTGCTGTCTCAACATAATTCAACACTTTACTAAACAAGACTTTAAAATGAAATAAGCCAACAATATGAGGAATTCTTTAGAGAAAACTTTTTTTCACAGATAACATTTGTGAAAAGTTGAATTACCTATCATCGCGGAAAGAGGTTAAAAAAAGTATAAATGAATAAATGGCATTGAGACGGTGGAGAAAATTTGTAACTCAGATGGATTATTGTGGTAGAGTTTTGTTTTCTGAGCTGGGTGGTTTGGTTTTGGCGCTTTTATTGTTCTTCTGAACATTATCAGTGTAAATTTCAGGTATGAAGCTCTACAACCAAAACTTCCAGCCCAAAGAACGAAACTTCCCCAGAAGAAATGGCATCCCTCATGCATTATCAATCTGTGTCAAAAGAAACAATATTGTTAAAACGAATGTCTACATTACTCTTCACTTTCTATTTATAAAATGGACTTCCTTACAGAAATACAAACCACGTAGGAATACTCGGCTAACTAACCTTGAAATTCGGTAATGAGGCAAGCAAAGGGATTTTCGCATGTACACTGGCTCTTAGAGTAGTACCCAAATTAGATGGACAGAACGTGATAAACCCGAAGCGATCACTGACCGAGAACTTCAGTGTCTTGGAAAGTTCTTCTATTGCCTGTTTGAAGTTTAAGAAAACATAGAAGACAAGTGTTCAGAAACAGATATTAAGTAATACAAAAATAAACAAGTAACACCATTCATCAGCCATACACTGATATCACATCTGCTAAAAAGTACATACATTACATACTAAGAAATCTATTTATTATATCATTAAGTTATTATTTCTTCCCCATCCAGGATAATGACTACATCTGACTATTATAAACCCTTCCTTTAGCATTTCTGGAGTGTTTCAGAAAAGCAGTCCACAGCTTAAAATATTACATTTTTAACCATTGGGTTGAAGATCGGTACTTCACATCAACTGAATGCACTAGCTATTCAACTTCACAGTAATATTATATTCACTCAAGACTCAACATTAGATTTATGGAACACGGTTTGTAACAACTGACAAAATCTAGTTAGGTCACTGGTGAGATAAAGCTTCAGGTTTACTAAGCCGACCGTTTTTAAATCCCAAGTAGTTGGTTAGTATTCTCATTTATGAAGCGGTAAGTCAATAGTTATACTAAATACAAAGGATCTCAAACAAGTGTCATGAAGCCTTGATGCTTCATGATCAAAAAGTATTCAAAAACAGATCGATAAAAGTTTCTAAAACATTGTATCAAAATTTTTTTAACCCTGATTAATGGGCAGTTTGTCTTTTGTCTGAATTCATCAATAAGATTATTTTGGAATCTTGGGTGATAGATAAATTAAATAGATTCCTAATCTTCCTCATCTATATTCATAGTTGGATTATTCACAAATGACCAATGAAAGTCCGGCTCCAGGAAAAGTCCTTTAAACGAGTACATTATAAAATCCGTCAAAATATAGGCATCAATTGGTAGTTTTGGCAGATATATTCTACTTATCTATAAAGGAAGATAGATCAGTCACCTTAAACCCTTTCCTGTTTGTCACAGGCGAAAAATTGATATCAGCAAAACTGATCTTCAAACTCTTTTTTGAATCCTGATTAAATATGATTGCCCAACGGGTGAACTTTTTGACAACAAGACTGTCAAATTAATTGCCGGTGGAAAACTACTGAATACTTGAACAGTAGACTATTCTGCAGCCTTATCAATCTCGGATTTTTGATTTTTAAAAGTAAAGCTCGATTAATTAATCCGAAATTAAAATTTCACATGTGAAAAAACAGATGAACTACACAGGCATACATGTAATGAACATTTTAGAAACGTACACCAGCCAGTCGTTTATAGACTGCAACTAGATCACCACCCTTTTGCATTGAAATGACGCGAATGTGATCCTCTTCGTTGATCCAGACCAAAAAGTTCTTTTCTTTGTTTATGAATATACCACGACCTGTTGGCCAGTCAATGTATCCACCAGCATCTCTTAGAACACTATAAAAGTTAACGGAGATAAAATGAAGTAGCACTATAAAAACATCACTTCATTAAATGGATTGTTAAAAACCATGATGTTGTGTGGTCGAAGCAAATGAGAACTTAACGAGGATTTGATAATGTTCGTAATAAACGATAAATCAAAGCAAATTTACAGTGGCACTGTTTAATAGCCAAGCAAGCATTATTTTGTAAAATAAACAACCGGCACGTAGCAACATTTAACACTTTGTTTAGTCTCCCTATATCGGAAACTTGATTGACTGAAAGTGTCATAGATATCCTAGATACTCGTTGAATTAGGGAAAATGTATACAACTATTCTTTTGTGTCAAAAATTACCACTTCATATGACAAACAATAAACCGATTTTTGTAGCTCAAAAGCATAACCCTGAATCGTTAAGTCTTAATGCAGAAAAGTATACCCTAAAATAGATTGGCTTTCGAACTATCGGTTGGAAGTTCCATGACTTCATTGGAATGATACCTCAATAATAATTTGAAAAATATGAACGAATACGTATCTTGAAATAAACCATTGAAGAAAATTTCCAGAAATTTTTTTAGAGTATCTAATCCTCAGTTCGAAAAGTCTATACACTAATTTGAATTTTTGTGAAGAACTCCAGTCTTCATAGTTTTTATTGAGCAGCATAAGAAAGTAACAGATTAATGTGAATACGGATCAATCATTTTTAGGATTGACCACTGAGTCACTGTTTTACAACTTGGGTAAGAAAATCTCACAGATCCAAATAAGTCAGATGAATTTGTTTGTATCCCCTCACAAACCATGACAACTTGGTTTTTACCAGCCAGTTCTATTTTTATAGCCCTTTCATAATTTATTTTATTGCCCTGGACTGTTACTTCAAAGCATGAAGACTGAAAGCTATTGCTTCAGAAGGCTTAGATTTCTCGGACAATTAGGAATTTCGCACAAATACAAAACTTAAAATGGAAACTAACGCACACTACTATTCAACCTAGTAAATAAACTAAAACTACAACATACCTGTCATCGTTTCTGAAAAGAAAATGATCGTTCACTAGTTTGACTCTATCTTCTTCTGACATTCCCGTTAATGGGTAATAAGTCCCTGCATATTCACCAGATAGGTTGGTTAGAGCAGTGGAGATCTAAAAACAGGAAATAAAATCCATTGGTTTTATGCACCTTGAAATCAAGTATTTTGCAACAGTTAGGAGTTATAAGAACAAAACTTACTTTCTTTTCCAGCTCAATTCGAGACTCTTTGGTTAAGGTTGGACCAAAACCAAATCCTTCAACTGTTCTGCCTAGGCGAACTCTAGTCGATACAACTAAGTTTCCGTAAGTATTCAAATCCGAAAACGATAGATTCTTGAAATCACCAAAGTTTGACTTAGGATGTTGTATTTTACCACCTGGCACCTAAAAAAACACTCAGTTAGTAGTGAAAACGATATTGGATATATGTGCTCAAAGTTATTTCCAAAGACAAACAAACCTTATGGTAATCAGCAATCACAGCATCGAAAAAGTCTCTGAAGGTTTCGTAAGCATTCAAATCGCATGCTCTTGGCAACAGAGCTCCAGGGTTGTGAGCATCTACAATTTAAGTACGATAAACCTCTAAGTTCAGTAGAATAAACAAACTAAAAACAGCTGGCAATACTTATAACACTCAACCTGGTTCAAAATCATCGTGCACAAATAAAAAGAATGTTTGTATGAGTATGATGAGGACTAATAAATTAACAGTTTGGATTCTTGGTAAACAGACTAGCCTCAACCATATGTATGACCTTTATCAACAGCCTCAATCAATAACAAGATATTTCCATGGTGAACACTTCAACTGTCTCTCAGTTATACCTTTGAACTATATTATTCATGACTTACATTTCTACGAAATCTGGGATCCGTGATTGCAAAGGTGTCCTAGACAAAGTTACCAATCTGAGTTTGAGTGTCACCTTAACCACAATGCATTTTTTGACAGCGCTTAAGATAAGTAATCCAGAATTCGGCCTACAGGGTGAATGGGAGTCTGAATGTCACACATCCAAAATAAGAAGACATCAACTAGAATGATACGAAGACCTTTTTCTGTGTAGCAGTACGACAACCTCAGAACAATGTATTTTCTCAATTACAATTCACAGCATGATATAGTGGGAATCATACAGAAAAAGGTTCTTAATTTAACCAATTTCAACTCGAAAAACTGTCTCTTGCGCGGTAACTCCTAAACCAGCATGACTAAAATTCGTAATAGTTTTCACACCATATTATAGATAAAATGATCAATAAACAAAACATGTACCAGAAAGTTATAAATTAAAAACTCTCACTTGTATTCACACATTGGGCGAGAGTCCCACCCAAGCTTGTTTTTGTCGATTGATATTTGTTGACAATGTCATCAGTTAGGTGTTTTTTTGTTAGTGAGTGATTTCTTTCATCACTTCTAATTTTGGTTTGAAGGTTTTTGAGACTTTCGACCTGCATGCTGATTAAGCGCAGAGTACGGACTTTAGGAGAAACAAGCGATAAAGGGATAAGTTGTACCACTTTTATAAATGTGCTGGTAAAGTCAAATGTTCCTAGGCCAATTGAAATAATAAAACAAATTTCTGTCCAATATCCAATATCTTCCTCGATCGATCTAGTATAATCCAGTTGATCTTTATGTGCTCGATTTTCGTCCTTTCTTTATGGTCTCAGGTATCTGGAAGTATCCAGTGGATTTAGGTCCAACGCCTGGACTGTCCATTTCTAGTCAGTTGGCAGTTGTTTGTGAGTATGTATGTTCCGTGATTTGAATAAGTACGTTTGTCTCCAGGCCGTGGGGTTTCTGGATACCAGCAGCTATAAAGTCACCAGGCTGTAGATCAATTAGTAGCTATGTGTAGTGAAGATGGTGCGAGAGGACCGTAGAGTAAGCAGAGAAGTGAAAACAGTGACGATGGTAAGCAAAATCGAGTAATTAAGTGATCTAAGGAACCGGCACTAAGAATAACTAGCAGGTCTGAAGACATGCATGAAGCACGGCTGATCCACGAGGAAGATAATAATCCGTATGTGAGTACATGTTTGTCAAGTCTCTCCTCGAAGCTGTCCACTGAGGGGGCTGTAGTCCCTTAGGCTGAGAGTGAGTTCCAAATTGCAAAAACTCTCAATAAGAAAAAGTGTGCATGAACCTACATGTTCGCTCTTTGATGCGCAATTTTTCGGAAGGTACCTCGAGGGGCATGGTGGTAAGTTGATCACGAGCCAAATGTGTTGTCCCCCGTTATCTGATCACCTCAATCTAATCCTCGTCGCTTTCCATGGACCTACAGATCCTTGTATCGTCTGCGTAGATCAATGCTGCCCAAATAACTTTGCTGAATAGATCATTGATGAATGTCAGAAAGAGGGGTGGACCGAAGATGGTCGCCTGTGAGACTACGGATTTGAGAAATGCCAACTCTCATACACTCTATTTACTTTGATGCCAAACTTTCTATTCTCAATGTAGTTTACGAGCTAAGATGGGAGTGGGTCAGTGAAGCCCATTTTCGCAACCCCCGCAATGAGTAGTGTGTGGGGTACTGGGTCGAAGTTTATTATGTCAGTCTACTTCTTTTAATCCCTGTAAATTTAATGTTTAATCTAGCTTTGAATGTTTCAACGGGAGGTGTTGATATTACATGTTCTAGGAGCGAATTCCAGCAATTCACTATAGATTGTGAGAAACGAAACTCCAAATAATAACTTTTCTTCCTCGGTTTTTGAGCTTTCTTGGAGAATGTTTACGGTTGGTCTGTCATAGATGGAATGGATAGAGAGATTATTGAGAATTTTTACTATTTATCCCCCCCCACCGTTGAACTCATTTGTTACACACCTAAAGGAAGGACTGCAAATGCAGCATCATTAACGTCGCGTATAGTACCCTGAAAATTACTTCATCCGATCAATAAAACGAGTTACAAATGTCAAACAGAACCCCGAAGTCTTCGGCAGCGGCAGTCCTACAGTTACTTAAAGTCATAAGGTCGTTGCTTATTGTAACTCATAGATCAAGATAATCTATTATTAAGGTAACATCATTTTGTTACCCGTATAGTTACATAAATCATCTCAGTTGTTTGCGTGTATTACGATATTACTTCATTGCTTCCAATGATCACCCATACATTTGTTCGGCAAGCAAATATAGGACAGACAGACAGATGCAACGCAGAACTTTGTACGTAAGTACATCAGTTCAGGTTGCCATAACACATCAGCACAGAGGCAACTGTCAATACAAATCTAAGAGTGATACCGATAGTAGAAGTATTATCAGTAATCCAGAAGATTAGGGAGCGAAGATATGATTCCAGAAGTATAATTCAGTAAGATAAATTTAGAAAGAGAAAGACAGACATGATTAGGAATTCAGAAGGTTAGAATAAGAGAGAACACAAAGAGTTGCTGTACCTGCGCCATTGCAAATGATTCTCAGCCATGTCGTTTAAGTTCTCTAACTATCGGTGTCCTTCGTCTCATAGCCTACATCTAGCAACATGACTCAGTCCACTTATCAGTGACTTCATGGATTTGTGCCATGTTTTGGTTTGCCCGACCCTAGCTTTCTTCCAACCTACTCCTTGTAGAATTCTTTTTGAATGTTTTGTGTTTTGGAAAATCCCTCCATGTTTACATATTTTTGCTATGACCTGATGGACTTTTTCTCTTGACATTTTTGGTATTTTATTTGATTCCAATTTGAGATTTTTACCATTGTATGTTGTTATTCTTTCTATATTTTGTACTTATATTGAAGTTTTTGTGTTTGCCTTTGAACTGTACATATTGTTTAAATTTGATATAATATGGCTACCGCCACATTTTTGGATAGACGCGGTGGCTGCTGGACTTAGTGTCACTTACTAGCTATTGTAATAGATACTCTACGGAGTAATTTAGTCCTGGAAGAAACAAAAACACCGTAAGCCTCTGTATTTCCATTTTATAACAATATAGAGACGTTTTCTCCTAGAATTTTTGGCCTTTTGGTTTGGCTGGGACCTGGATCTAGGAGTATCGTACCGGTGTGTTTCTATTGGACGCGATTAGGACAGCCGCCGTCGAAATAAATTCTACAGTCTGGTGTTTTCTCTTCTTGCGTGAATTATACTTGGAAATATCCGTCGGGACGCACATAATTTGGATCTATTTGGATTATTAAGAATTACAAGGAAACATTTGGAATTTAATCGTTTATCATACTAGACTTCCTTGGAGGAAGACGCTGGAACTACTTATCATTAATTTTGAACTGAATTTTGGATTTATTCTATTTTGTATCGTTACCGTCTTTATTGAACTTTATTTATGATGTCAAACCGAAAAAAATCACACGTGAGGAGGGTGGAAGAGCTCGACGGATCACAGGGCTCTAGGCAAGTCGTTGATGATAACCTTTTTATGGGTAACCCACATGTTATGTCTGATATTTATTATTGTAAGTCATCGATAGAGGGTTTAGAATTACCTAAGGTTGAGCTTTCATATTTTGATGGAAGGTCTCGCGACTATTTTAAGTTCATACGACAGATAGAGACGTTTATAGAACCTCGAATCAAGGATGATCAAGTGCGTTTATTGTATTTAATTCATTATTGTAAGGGAAAAGCAAAAAATGCGATCGAAGGCTGTCTTATAATGGACCCACAGGCAGGATATAAGAGAGCTAAGGCCATTCTAAAACAGCTCTTTGGACAGACGCATGTAATAGCGCGAGAAACCTTAGAGGACTTATTTAGAACTGGGAATGTGGAATTTAATGATCCTGAATCATTGACGAACTTGGCCATTAAAATGCAGAATGCTTCTTTAACTTTAGAACAATTAAATTGTACAGCTGAACTTAACTCTATGACTACTTTAGAACGAATAGTAAGGCTCTTACCTCGTCGAATGCAAGCCCAGTGGGCAGAGCTAGTATTCAAGTGGGACGAAGAGGAAAGAGAGCCCAATTTTAACGAATTGACGGAATTTATTATGTCTCGTGCTAAGATAGCTAGTAGTAGGTTTGGAAGATTAGCTTATCAGGCTAAAACAGGAAATAATATGGAAGCTACTAGTGGTCTGCGTGCGAGACATTCGGATTTTTCGTTTCTACCTAAAGCACGCTCGGAAGATAAGCGATTTGTCAATTATATCACGAAAGCATACCCTGATGAAGGACGAGTATGTGACCGTAACGATGTAAATTCTCTTGATGCGTGTCCTAGCAAGAAGCCGGTTTGTGTAACAGATAAGATGGCTTTTCTATGTGTAGAAAAGAAAGAAAAAGGCGAAAAGTGTAGGCATCAAGATGGATCCGAAGTGTGTGACGATAAAAGCCTCTTAGCTGCTCGAAAAGCCTGGAACGGTAATTTGGATTCGAGTAATCAGAGGTTAGTGAGTTCAGCAAATATGAATAAAGCCCAGGCAGGATTGACTGAACGGAATAAAGCTTATTTTCGGAACCCTTCAGTTAGGGTAAATTATATAACTGGACCTAGAGTAGATTCTAGGATAAGTGATGGTGGTACAGTAACGGCTAAGAAGCCTAGGAGACATGATGCTACTATTACTAAGAAGCCTGAACCTCATGCTCTTTCGGATGCTCTTTTTTCAGAACCTTATTCCACTCCTCATATATTAGTCTGGATATTTGCAGTAGACTTGGTTACCCTACCCAAGAACATGTAAAATCATTAGCTGATGAATATCAACCATACCTTTGTACATTTACCGCATCAGTTCTTGTTATATGCAAACCTATCTCTACCATGAATCGTTTCTCAGTCCATAAGATGATTGTCGTAACGCAACCTTCGTAACTTGCGCCAATTATTCGCATTGAACATTCCATCTTTAAGAACACAATGAATCTTGTGAAATGTTTCAGTAAATGTATACCGTTTTAAAAGAAATATGTTGTTAATCTTAACATTTTGATCTTGCCTGTAAATTGGCATGTCTCTTGTAACATGTTTGTTATTTGAGAATAAATTGTTATTATTATTATTATTATTAGCTATGGAAATAGTAGCCATCAGAACCTCAATAGTGACAGTGATAATGAGAATATAGAAAGTGTCAGCAGTCCACTTATAGGGACTAGTTTATCGACTTCATCGAGTGAGCCTCCTAGTGTTTCGACGCCATTGGACCTCGTCACGAAGGTTAAGTTGATTGAAGATGCACAAAGTTGTGCAACCGTAACTGTTCCTATTACGGTTGACTGTCAGTCGAGTGATGATGAGAAGAAAATGTTTGATGGTAACAGCCAGTCTACAGTGCTGTGTGATGACGATGCTATTGTTGAGCATATGTCTTGTGCCGCTGAAACGGATGCTAATGCAGAACGGAATCAATTAGACGTTGATAATAAACCGGATGTCACTGATGTGACAAATGAGTTACCGACGATGATGAATACTGTTCAAACCTCCTCTGCATCAGGAGATGGAAGGATAAATATTGATCCTACGTCATGCTACTTAAGGTCTTCTGGAGACGACGAAATGTCAAAATTGGAAATCTCACCCTTGCATATTATTTATGGGTCAAAAACTTCTGTTGATAA